TTTCACTTCCATAATCATTATCAGATCTTGATTTTGTGGTTTCCCGTGGAGCAACATATAGAGGAAGGAGTTCATGAACATTATTTATAGATAGGTTTGACTTAAACAATTTCAGTTGTGAAAGACTTCCTGTCGCTTCAAAGAACAATGAAGAACATGCCTGGATGGGTCACATGATCATTTTCATCGTTTAATAAAAGATCGAAAACAAAGCCAATATGGCTAAACAAAATTTTTTATCAATACATAAACAGTAAAAAGGGGAGAAAGGACCAGATGGGCCCAATAAAGGACATAAATGGTACGTTACTCACAAACGACAGGGAGAGGGCTGAGGCGCTAAATACTTTTTTCTCGTCGGTATTCACCAAGGAAACAGACGGGTTTAATGTACATGATAAACACAAAATTCAACAGGAAAATGATCAGCGCATTTCTATTAAAATGGGGGCGGGGGGTTTCGTTGTGGGGAGGGGGGGGGTGCCCTTACAAAATTTTGCTATGGGGCCCTGGGATTTCTAGTTACGCCCCTGGGCACAAGTTTCTACTCAAAATACAGTACACAGAAGTTACTTATCACTTCATAGTAAGATGAGTAACAGTTCTAAGAAGGCATGAGAAAGACATAGTTCTCTTCCTGCACTCGGTTCTGCAAATGTATATTGCTTCAAAATTAAACGGTATTTTCAGTCTTGCGGTGACTTCAAAAACGAGATCTACTAAATCATGGAAATATTGTATGTCAGTATATATTCATCAGCTGTACCTTGAGGAACTGGTTTCATGTTTTCCCCAAGATAGCCCAGTATTAGGGTTGACTACTGCAAGCTCACTGCATTCTGATTTAGCTGATTTAAGTGTGGGTATTTGTGGGAAGATCTTGTACCAACACCAAAAAACCCTAGCATTTGCAAAGTGCTTGCATGTCTGACCATCATCTGTAGGTACCTTATATGGCTTCTGTTCTCTATGCGTGTATCTGGGATGATATACTTTACACATGCAGTCTATGTACCAGGCATGGCATCCACTGCCAAATTAATTATCTGCTCAGTTTCTCCAGGCATTCATATTATGAATATTGAGATAGAGATGCAAGTTGGAAAAAGGTAACACCAGCCAGCAGAACAGAATGGAACTGCTCACAAAGTTGTATAATGGAGCTGCAAGCTCCAATGCTCACATTTTACATAACTGGGCATTAACATAAGGGAAGATGTATTTAAATATATAGCCAGGGCCGGATTAAAAGCATCATGGGCCTGGTGCTATCGGTCAGTCGGACGGGAAGCATCAGAGGCTGCTCTCTCTATTTAGGAGGACGCTCACTCCTCGATGGGGCCCCATGAGGCCCCAGTAAGCGGCCGCCTAATATGCCTGATAAGAGTGCCGCGTGCGCCTCTGCCTGATTGTGTTCAGCTCGGCCGGCCTGGATTGCAATTGGGCATACCGAAGCAATCTGGGCAGGCCTAGCCTATTTTTAGAGGTGGGCCTGGAGCTGGGGTTGCAGTAGCCCCTATTTTAATCCAGCCCTGTATTTAGCACATTATCAAGAGCAATTGTAACAACCAAATTCTTATGAGGGTGTGTGTATGCCGCAAAAAAACTTTTTTTCTTTGTACATGGAGCAGCCATATTTGCTTATTTCATATGCAGGTTCTGTTTTCTTTGAGCCTTGTTGATTACTTGCAAGTCTACCAGACGGTGTTTTTCTAATTGAGCCTTACACATCAATTGGTGTTATTTCCCTACAGGTACCCAAAGGAAGACTTTCAGGACAGGTCTGATGCTGGTAGGTGTTTGAGATCCCACTCTGTTACTTAATAAGAATACATTAATGCATAAGGCTCTAAGTGACAGATTGGGAGTATTTTTTTTAAATTTTATAAATCGATAAATTAATGATGGGTCTATTTTAAAACAATAAAACTAGACCTTTCTTAGGCTGCAAAATCATCAGTGAACAGTGAAACCTAATTTACAACCCTAACTTCAGGTGAGCAGATTTTTAATGAAAGCCAGGAACATTTTACAGCACATCCGTCCACACATTATGGCTCAGTATAAATATCAGTGTGCTCTCACAGCGAATCCTCAGTGCCGCTGGTGTACCCAGCATGAATAGAGGAACATGCCTCTGAAATGAAGCTGTATGAAATAGTACAGTAAATGTACAGACTACACACATTGCATCACTTCAATTTAATTTCCTAATGTACACTTCTTCTTTTTTTCATACCACCAGACCACTGACATGACCTCTTTCCCTTCATCCATTGCACAGTGTCTCTGCGGAATAGCTCTTCCTGTTCCTAGACCCCATATGCTAATGACACCATCAGTGTAATAATTCAATAAGAAGCAATAGTGTATGGGGTATCCTGCAAACAACTGGAGGTTAGAAGCTCCTCTGAGGTTAGAGCAATGGAGGGTACCTATGCATAGCCCCTTTTACTTAGGTGCTCTGCTAATTCTAATCAGGAATTGTATGCTTAAAAGAGAACTGAGTCATCACTCTCTGCAGGTAGGTAAGCGGGAAGTAAGTGAGCGACGGTATGTGTTTGCTCACTTCCCGATCTATAGAGTCGACGTGTGACCGTTTCATTGTCACACGTTGGCTCTAACTATGAGGACTAGTGTAAATCACTCACCTCATAGTTCTCCTTTAAACCCTCATTCACACACGCTTCCTACCTTCGATTTATTTAAATGAAGGCGAAATTGATCTGGGAAGTAGAACTTTATACTTCCCAGAACAGGTTCTCTTGCATTTGAAAGTATATGCGTTTACATGCGTTTAGATGTATTCAGAGTATCTAATCTGCCCTATTAGGTAAACTAAATGCACCTAAATGCAAGAAAAAGCACAGTGTGAGTTATATGATTTCAAAATCGTTACAGGATATACAGGTATTCCTCACTTAACGACCGAGTTCCGTTCCTACGACCAGGTCGTTAAACGGATTGGTCGTTAAGTGAGGAACTCTATACAGTACTATACTGCATTAGTACAGTACTGTATAGCGTTGCCGATGTACAGTACCGAACAGTGTACTGTACATCCGGCAATGGAAATACTTACCGAGACCTGCAGTGAAGATCGGGGGATGTCACTTCCGCCGGCGACCCGTCGCACTGACGCTGACGCGGAAGGTCGGAGGTCGATCGGCGGTCCGTCGTAAGTGCGAGTGGTCGCAAAACAGGTAAGTCGGTAAGTGAGGAACATCTGTATAGTAGAGACATGATTGACAGCACGATTGCCAGGGCAACCCACACCAGACACTTTTCAATTAGTGCAGCATCCTGTATTGGTTGCTGTGGCACAATGCAGATGCACCGATCCCAGCACATGATACTGTGTTGTTTTTTTGGTAGAACTTTATTGAAATAAAGTGATATTTCATTCAGTTCTATGGGCACAGTGAGGTGCGAGGCCGTTGTAAGGCGCTAAAAAAAAGTACAACATGTCATACTTTTTTTTAGCACACACCACCGCATTCCCATCACAACACGGTGGTGTGAACCGATCTCCTCTGTGACAAGGCAAATTGCCTTGTCTTGCATTGGGGCTGTGCTGGAAAAAACAGCCAGCACAGCCCCAACGCATCTGGTGGGAATCAGCCCTAATGAAAATTCGGATTCATACGAATTTCATTCAAAACAAAACTAAATCAGACATGTGACTGTTCTCTGGCCAATCAGATGGGTAATTTTTGACTGTTAGGGGTTGCATCACAGGCACGTGATGTGACTTCCTGTTGAGTATTGTTCCCACACAAAAATTCGGACGGATCCGAAAACCAAACCAAATTTCGCATCCGAAAACCGAATAACAAATCGAATTGGCTTTTGGATCCGAAATTCGAAAAATTAGAGAAATTAAAAACTGAATGGATCTGAAACAAAACAAATTTTGTACAGGTTGCATGTCTACTGAATAGCTATTTTTTTTTTTTCAAAATAAAGAACAGAGTAACATTTAAAGTAACACACACACAATAGATTTTCTGAAATATGTTCTTGTATTTAAAGAAAAGAAAAGCGATTGTGTAAAAAAATAAATATTCCTGCAGTTATATTAAACTTAAAACATGTACATTATTAATGACAATGCATAAAGTGTAACATTTACAAAACTATGAAATGTAGTACATTAGTTCAAAAGTTTGATATCCAAAGAAGCAAAATAAAATTGCACAGTTTGCATGTCCTTTCCATGTAATCTCAATACAGTGCCAATGATGAAATTGCTAGAAACATAGCTAAACACCCAAACAGTAAATAAATATACATCTCCAGTCAGTGCTGAATAGAAACTGCAGACTTCCAAAGGCCTCTGCCCAGATATTCTTGGGGACAATGTTTTGGAAATGTTCTTTACATTTTTGGGTTTTAAAATGTTATTCTCTGTACATTTTCATTGAATAAGAACATAGGAAAGCCAAGAACATACAGTATATTTCAGTGGAAACTCTTGTAAGGATCCTTTTAGAGCAGTTCCAGGATTGTGCAGGTAGGAGAAGACCGTAAGGCAGATCTTGAACATACTGGAAGGGTTAAAATTGTCCACTGGCTTGGGCACACTTTCTAAGAAATTTAGGAGTACAGTCCATTGAGGAAATTATTTGACTTAAAGGCAACCATAGCATGTAACTTAGGCATTGGCATTTGAACAAACAAGCAAAGTAAAAGGTGCCCAGAGGCGCTCAAACAAGTCCACAGAAACTCAGAGATACCAGCTCTTCTGGCTAAGTGCAAGAATATCAAGTTGCAGACCTGCATATGATGTACCCAGTGACTTTCCTGATGATAATAAGTACAAACCATGATTCCAGTGTATTATGGTTTGACTTGGATGACATAACTAATCTTTAGTCTTAGTTACGTGTTTTACAATCATGCACTCAGCATATCTGCTTCTCCTCAGTGCTTACTCTATGGTCACAAGGCACAGGCATAGCACCAATACACGAAAGGATTTATGGTCGGTCCTTTTCTCCTTTCTCAGATAACGCAGAGTCACATATCCTTACATCTGAAACAGACTTCACAACAATGGACTGAGGTGCAGAAGAGAACATAACTCCATGCTTCTCAAGTCAGTCAAACAAAGTCCTACACACATTTTGTGGCTGGAGAGCTTTCCATCAGATATACAGGGCAGATTTCCTCTTTCTCTGGCTTATTGTAGGCAATGTGTATGTCGTTTTTTAACCATTGCTAGAAAGAAAGAAAGAAAGAAAGAAAGAAGAGGACACAGTCACGGTTTATGGCAATAATTCCATGATTTGCATTAGAAGTTAAAAAAAGGTAATGAATGTTCTCAAAGAATGGAAACTGTTTCAAGGTTGCTGTCAGGAAGGTCTGGCTGCCGACCATAGTACAAGTGCACGGAACGCTGCACGCACTGTTGCGCACGGATATGCATAGAAACCGATTAAGTGTTCACATTATGTGCATGCCCGTTCCACCTGTTGGCACCAGGTGGCCTATTTAAAGATGCTAGAAGCAGCTGCCAGCAGAGGGAAGATCATCAGCTCCTCATCCTGTACTTGCTATTCCTGTTTTACAGGTATCTTGGATTTGACCCTGCTTGTCTCTGAACCCTGCTTGTGTGCCCCCTGCCTGCTGACCCCTGCCTGTCTTGACTACCCTTCTGGATTCCAATTTGGCTCTGCTTGCCGGCATGGCTCTGATCTGGCTTTCCTGTGACTACGCCTCTGCCTTAAGTTTTTGCACCTCATTGCCTGCCAGGTGCTGACCCGGCCCGTCTGACTATGATCCTGTCTTCCCTGCTGCCATCTCGCTTGCTGCTGAACATCTGGTTCCAATAGTATCCTGCAAAATTAGATATCCCAGGAAGCAACTAGTGATGTAGCGTTCCCAGAATGCATCTGTAAGGGCAGGGCTACATCACAAGTGAAAACAGTAATTGTACGAAAAAACAAAACTTTTTTTTTTAACTAATGAATGTAAGATGATTTTACATCCGCATGCAGAGCTGTATACTGATATGATTTCTAGTAAAAGGGGGTAAAGGTCCACTTTATTGGGTCTGGGTTTCAATTTATAACACAAGGCTCAATGGATCGAGAAATTAAGTATGAAGCAATGCAAGAAACTGATTTATGTATTTCTCAAATTACAGGTTCAGCATTATTACAATTGTTTCTTAGGTGTAAATGTTTACCTGTAAATCCTTTGTATCAACTTTTTATTTTATGTTCCAACAATACATTAGACAAATAAGTTTAAACATACATATAAAAATCATTTCACAGTCACAATATCTTACATCGTCATTCTTCTCAGCCCCCCAGAAGGAAAAAAAAACAACTGTACATATATATGCGCATATACATACAGTCCCCGAGCCTATTCATAAATACATTAAAATCACCATACATCTATGTCATTGTGAAAAGTGTAACCGAAAAAAAAAAAAATCCATCTTCCCATGCCTAGTGTCAAGTTCATCGAGGAAAAAGTCCCCTAAAATATTATTGTGCCACATTTCCCCTTATGAAATGTCATATTTTATTACTATTATTCTACCATTTACTTAACGTCTTAATCCTTGTGAAAAATATATATTTATATATACGTACATATATGTGCTTCCCCCCTACACATCCCTAAAACCTGTTCATAAATACATTAGATCTACCAAACATCTATATCATTGTGCAAGTGGCATTAGCGGTGCCAAACCTTCCTTACAGCAGGTGTAATCGTTATGCCTCCTCATCCCATACCTGTAAATCTTTTGGAAAAATCCTTGCAGGATCTGGAATTTGAGGGCAGATTAAGACCTTCAGTCTGTGTTAAGAGAAAAAAAGAGGATCACAAAAAAAAAATCTTTTTACAGTAAATGCGCTTTTTGTATATTTTCAGACTTTTTGCAGCGTTGCTTTGCAAACCAGAAATTACTGTAAAATAAAATACTTAAATACAGATATCTAAACCTAACAGCAAGAACTAAATATGTTGCTGCCTATCAGTCATTAGATGTAGGGACTGCATTTGTTTTTATCTTTCAAAGTAAGAACAATTCCAGCAAGTACAGTAAATACCTGTTCATCTTGCCAGAAATGCAGTGCCCTTGTTCATTTATGTGAAAGGGACTGATACATCAAACAATGTTATCTTGCTTCCAAACTTTCTTCTGTAAACGAATAACTCTCCCACCTACATGTAATGGAGATGAAGAGAGGAAGATATGTTTGATGTCACACCTGGGTTGCAACCATGGCTTCGTCTATAGATATATTGGAGAAGTAAGCATAGCTACTCTAGGACATGAAGTGTGTTATTTGCAGGATTTCCAGGTGAAAATAAAGGAAGAAAGTCTGAAAAAAGGAGACGAATGCTGCCATCACATCTAAGGACTGGTAAGCTGCAGCATATTACATTTATGGTTTTTGGGATACTTTTATATTTTTTATTTTTGGAGAATCCTTTTTTAAATGCTGTACTTGGAAACATTATTTTGATATTACTCTGTTAGAATCAACAATAACAGTACTGCCTCCTTAAAGTTAAACGCTGGACAGAAATGTTGTCATTTTTGGAAAGGTAATTTCTTTTCTTCATCGAATATCTTAGTGTTTTGCAATGCAGCCAATGTAATTTCCTACATTGAATTGTGCAGAATAAGGGCTTAGTGTCCATTATTTCCATTTCCATTTCATAAGACTAGTGGCTGCTATACCCCCTCTTCCCCATGGCTACCGGTCACACATTCCAACCTAGTCACAACTTTGATAGAACTCGCGGCACTGCCGGTCAGAGGAAATCTCGCTCTGACTGGAATTTCCGGTCACGGGGGTAGGTAACGGAACATTTGGGCGAGTACGAGTACTAGTATCGGTGTATCCCTACTTTCTACTATGAGTGGCAACATACTTACCACTTGGACCTGGGCTGCACAGACTCCTGGTCTGTCCCACCCATCACCAACTGCAAAAGATAACTGATAAGTGAGGAGACTCCTTGTCTGTCCAGCCTGACTAATTATATTAGCAGGTTATGCATATACCAACAATGTGAATGTGGCACGTGCCTTGTTCCTCCTCTCAATGGACCTGCTACATTCCTGCCAGCTCTCTCCATCCCCATCCATGCTATATTCTTTGGCAGCTCTCACCCCCCATCCATGCTATGTTCCCTAAATGGTCAACCCTTCCACCCTGTAAGCTATATTTCCTGCAGGCTTTATCCATCCATGCTTTGTTCCCTGACAGCTTTTCCCATCTACCTTACTTTCTCATCCATCTCGCACCAGCCCAATCCATGCTATGTTCCCTGCCAATCGACACTACCTTCTACCACCCCTATGTTTGGCTGCCATTGTGCCTCTTTTCTTATGGAGCATGAACAGCTCCCCTATGCTCCCTAGCTTCACATTTAGTTTACATTGCCCGCCCACAAGATCAGTTCTAGTGAGATTTAATTCTTGACCAAATTCATGTACAACTAATATAAAGACTGATAGGGCTATAATGCATACCAGTATATTACGAAACATTAAAATGGAAAAACACATTCAGCCTAAATTAATCTGTTATTCAATGGGTACATTTCTATTAGTTATTAAAAAAAACTTACTTTTCCATATGGACAAGTAAAAAAACTGCTGCAACAATTACTATAGCTGAAATGACGAGTGGTATAATTATAGATATCAATCTTTCGTCATCATGCCCTAGAAAGCAACCAGAGACAAGCAAGTCAAGAATCTATAAGCAAGAAATATATTCTATAACAAAGGCAGGCAACCTCGGCACTCCAGCTGCGGTAATGCTACACATTCCATCATGCCTCTGTTGTCAGTGTCTTGCAATGTCTTATGGGATTTGTAGATTCACCACAGCTGGAGTGCCGAGTTTGCCTAACCCTGTTTTATAAAAAAGGACAATCCAAATTTAGAAGTTTTATAAAATTATAAACAATAGTCAATAATATTGGAGGATGATGGATTAATTTTTATTATCTAGCACGCTAAACATCATACATTTTTCAGTTACGCTAAACTGGAATAGCGTAGAAACACAAAGGGGATTTTTTTTTGTAAACAGCATTTGTCAACATATACATAGAGGAAAATGTTTGATGTATGTTCCAATCTGTTCAATGTATGTTCCATGTATGTTCTGTATGCATATTATATGTATTGAAAAAGTCTAATTTTTCTAAAAGGATCCTTTGTTCTGAGCTTTATGTGTGTCTGTGAGACTGTTGCTTGTGGTACAGTGATTTAAGTGTATGTAAAGGCAAAACTTATTTTCAGTTTTTTTACAGGGTTATTTACAAAATGATGAACATGGGAAATTCCTGTTCCTGCTTCTCCCCTGACAGAAAGTGAAGGGAATCTCCCAAGCTGGACACAGGCACCAGCAAAATAACCTGACAGGGGCTTTATACCTAAATAAATATGACAGGGTTATTCACAAAAGGGTGAAGAGTTTGGAGAAGGCAGGAGATTGTTCACTTCTCCTGCCTTCTCCAAACTCTTTATCCTTTAGTGAAAAACCCTGTCATATTTATTTAGGTGTAAAGCCCCTGTCAGGTTATTTTGCTGGTGCCTTTGTCCAGCTTGGGAGATTCCCTTCACTTTCTGTCATGGAGACGCAGGAACAGGAAATTCCCATCTTAGCGATTTGTTTGTTGTTTTGCTCTGGTGATCACATTTTCAATTTCCCCTTACTTTCTGTTTCTGTGGCAAAGGTCATCAGAACAAATAGAGAGGTGAATCAAACCAGTGAGGACACAGCCAGCAAATAAAAACTTGATGCCATTCTATCTAAAACTAAAAAAAATAAACTTGTGATAAGTACTGTGGCATGTATGTGCAGTATATACATTAAACAGATTGGTTTAGTTTAACTATTTACTTAAGCCACTCCCACTGTAAAGCACAAAGGCACGAGTTGACCAAGCCCACTTTTTGCCATGGTGCACAAAGCGCACTGCAAACTTCTCCTCCATTGTGACCAGGGTGCCCCAGGTCTTTCACATTCCTAGCAACACCGCTATTTTGAGGGCATTTATCATATTATAAGGTCACAGTTGAAAAAATGTTGTGCTTAATTGTTTTGTTTTCTTTTAAAAGTGCCTGTATTCAAAGTGCTTGTATTTCTGGAATGTACACCTTAAGAAGTGCTTTGTGCAAACACAAATACCTCCTTTATCAATTCAGAACATCCACAACATAAACAATTTTTCCACATCAGTGAGGTAAGCTTTTTTTTAATCTCTTTTTTAGCTCTTTATCAAGCTAGGAGCACTTGCACAACCATATCACAATATCATAGTTACATAATAAGGTTGAAAAAATACACAGGTCCTTTAAGTTCAACCTTTATAAGTAGGGATGCACAGATACTTTTCGAGTACCAGTGCAGATACTTGGCATTTTCATGAGAACTACCAGAGTTGCAGCGGTTGCAGCTGGGACCTGGCTCTGGCACTCCACCACTGTCCTGAAATCATTAGTCTGTATTGTTTTAGAAAAACTGTCACATGACAATAAACAAAAATGTATCAGTACTTGTACATGTAAGTACTCTGCCAGTACCAGTACTCGTACTCGCAAAACTGGTATCTGTGCATCACTTTATTTATATTTATAAAAACAAAATCCTACATTAAAACAGAGATGTACAAGTCCCAGGAGCTCCGTGTGCTCCTTACAAGTGACAGCTGCCTCCTAATTTTTGAATTTTTCTCTAGTGTAGTCTTGGAGCTCAAAAGTATCGGTACCTGAACTCGTACTTGTACCGAGTACTGTACTTGGTATCTGTGCAACCCTATTTATAAGTATGTAATATACAGTATAGGCTCAAACAATCCCCATAGTCCTGTATACTATGCTCTTTGAGGAATACATCTACATGTTTTTTGAATTTTTCAACACATTCGGCTAGTACCACTACCTGAGGAAGGGAGTTCCACATTTTCATTGTGCTAACAGTAAATAACCCATTATGCAATCTAAGGCTAAACCTCTTTTCTTTTAACCTCACATTTTAAACACTTATCTTCTGCAGGTATCTCAGAGTAAACTGTTTATTACAGTTACTATAGTCACCTTTGATATCCTTGTACTTTGTGATCATATTTCCTTCTAAACACCTCTTCTCCAGAGTGAATAAGTTTAATCTAGGTAATTGTTCCTCATAGGTGAGGTTTATCAGTCCTATTATTCATTTTGTTATCCTTCGCTGAACTCTTTCTAATTCAAGAACATCTTTCCTGAGCATTAACGATCAAACTGACCTGCTTATTTAAAGTGACACTAAACTCAGGGGTTCAATATAAAAAATGCATTAAAGTATCGTAACTATTAACAGAAATGTATCTTATTTGTGCATCACTCCATTGCATAGCCTCAAATCATCTCTGAATGAGTTAGCTACTTTTGTTCCCCAAAAAAACGATTTAATACATCTGCCTTCCCTCTGAAGTTTGTGATCAACTTACCATGTTCATCCTCTATGCGGCCTGCTTGTTCTGTCCTTACCTTTTTACTATTGATATATTTGAAAAATGTTTGGGGTTTGTGTTACTTGCTGTAGCAATGTGTTTCTCGTATCCTATTTTAGCTGCCCTGATTGCTCCCTTGCATTCTTTGGCATTCCTTGTAATTCTAAATTGCTGTGAATGCCCCTTCCTATTTCTACTTTTTAAAAGTCTTGTTTATTTGCTTTTTTTTACAGTAGAATTTAACCACATTGGTTTTAATTTTGTTTTTTAGTATTTGTTACCTATTGGGATACATTGACCAATACACTTGTTTAATAAACTTTTCAAACACCCACTTGCCTTTTGTGTTCTTTGTCTGTACATGATGTGTATCTGATGGCTTCCCATCAAATCCACCTGCCAGGCTTGTTGCTAATTGGTCATGACTTGAAACGTTGCTTTTGAAATCGGGAGCTATAATATTTTGTACTAATATTTGTACAAAATAAACTATAAACGTCATCTTTTTTTAATAGGCATGGTTCGGATGTGGAACATATTTTTTACATGTTATGGATACTCTGATTTGTAACAGCAGGTATTTATCTTTGCACCAGGCACTTCTTAAGATGTGCATTCCAAAACAAGCACTTCGAAGGTGAAATCAGGGACTGCACACACATCGAATGATAAATAATTCAATTACTCACAGGAGAATGTAATAAAAAGTATGAGTAATGTGGTGAGTAGTAATTAATTTTTGACTGCATAAGATAGTCAGAAGTGAGAGATCTCTGTAAGACATGGATTACTCTGAATTTGTATGCAAGGACATGCATTCCCACGTGTTCATGGGCATTTGTTTCCCACATTTGGCTCGCATCCCTATTAAGCTCAAATTCAGGAAGAGTTGAGCATGTTCCATGTTTTTTTGGCATGTTCGCCTGCGGCGATGTGTATTCCTGATACACCTGTGTGTGCAACACCTCAAGCTGAACTCCAGGCTATATTGTCTAAATATGAGAGGCATATGAATTTTTACTTGAATATTAGGGTTTTTGTTGATTTCTTTCCGATGTGTGCATTAATTCAGCAAGACACAACACCTGCATTTTGCCCTGCGCAGGAGCATCCTGATGTAAGGACCAGTCATTGCTGCTCTCTTTCCTTATGCAGGGATATTCTATATCTGTGTGTGCAACACCTCAAGCTGAACTCCAGGCTATATTGTCTAAATATGAGAGGCATATGAATTTTTACTTGAATATTAGGGTTTTTGTTGATTTCTTTCCGATGTGTGCATTAATTCAGCAAGACACAACACCTGCATTTTGCCCTGCTGTAGGTACTACAGGGAAAGTACCTAACAAGTAGAGGAATTTATGTTTCCAGGAAACCCTTTTGATATTAATAAGCTACGGCTTCATAGACACTGTGAAACGTTAAAGAGGAACACAGAAAAGAAATACCTTTAACTATCTTTACATTACTCCAGTCACTCCAGATGAAACTGTGTTCGGCGGATAACAAATATCTTGAGAGCTTTACCCGCACTTTAACTGTGTATGTATCATGAGGCAGAACATGCAGGCTTTTATAGCTAGCAGATATCTGGAAAATCAAAGAAATAATCACAAATAAACCCATTTCTACCTATATTACGTTGATTTGTAGCACTATGCACAGTGACTCCAGGAGAGGATTCTGTCTGTACAAATGATATCACAAAACTATTACATTTTTTTTAAAGAAAATATATGTGGTCTTACTGATATAGCTTTCTGAGGTAAGAGGGGTCTTTGAATTCATAGTTACCAGATCCAATTGCACCACTATAATTCTTTAAATTAACTAGTGTCTATTTAAAGATGTATGTCCCTATCTTGCCTACATCCCTTTACATGCACAGTTGATCTGAATGGATAAATAGAGCAAGTACTGTACAGTTTGCCCAGCAAAGGATTTCTTTACATTTTTGACCAAACATTTACAATCATCATGTTTCTTAACAGGTGCTTCCAAGTCTTTCAGCTCAGCTTCCCTGAACTTCCTGTCCAGTGCAAGCTCACAAAGGATAGAGCAGTCTCCAGCAACTGTTCATCTACTAGCTTGTAGAAGGCAGGAGAGTGGGGCAGGGGAGAGGAAAGTAGCTGGATTTGCTGTGTCTGTGTGTTTGTGTGT